TACATATATACATATATATATATGTATATATATATATACTTTTTCAATGCCTGAAGAGTTTGACCGGCGTGCAGCCCTCTTTAATATGCCCATACTGCTTTTCTAGGTGCAGCTGAATAGTGGCAGCAATGGTATTGCCAGCAGAGTCTAAGGTGCTTCTGTTTGGCCTTTACAGAACGTGTCCCGAGGTTGCCATAGCCAGCAGGGGGCAGCAAAGGCCCATGCATAGCTTGAGCCGCAGCAAGGCCACCTGCAGGGGTCCATGTGACCAGGGGTGAGAAGCTGGAGTCCTTTAATGGAGGGTCTGACCAGGGCTGAGACGCTGGGGTCCTTTAGTGGAGGGTCTGAGGTAACAGGCTGGAGGAGCCCTTAATTGTGGGGCGGTGTGGTGGTGCCACCCAGGTAGATGGGGCAGTAAGAAGCAAGTTGATGTTGCTGGAGTAGAAAGGGCAAGGCCTACAGGGCGTGGGAGCGCTCTGGCAGCGCAGACACGGTGCAGGGCCTGGACTTCAGGTGAAGGTGTAGGGAGTCCCAGAAGGGCTCCTAAGGTAGCTGATGCGTTGACCATGGTGTGCGCTGATGTCTCCCCCAGGGGAGGCGGCAGGAGCAAACAGCTCAGCTGGGGTCTTCAGAATTCATTGTCCCTTGCATTCGTCATTTGCACCCAGATCTTGGCTGGATGCCAGGCAGTATTTCTGTTTTCTTTTCTCCCGGTTTTTCTCTGCTTTGTGTTCACTATGATGCAGTGAAATCAGCGCTGTCTGCTTTCAGCCTAGACAGTCCTTCCAGGGGCTTTTCAGAAGTCAGTTTCACCCATTTCGAGCTGGTTCTACTAGTTTAACTCTTTTTGGGTGAGGCCTTTTGAAACCTTTTTGTTCTGCTTTGGAGAAGTATTTCTTAACATGGAGAGCAGGGGCTCTGAGGCTCTTTTTAGGAGCCACTGAACTCTGTTAGGACATGGAGGTGCGCACAGGCAGATGACAGGCCCCACACTGCAGACACCGTTGCAGGAGTTCCTGCCCTCAGAGCGGCTGGGGACGCTGCCTGGAGAACACGTCCACCTTGAGGCTTGGGGCTTGATAAGAAGGCCTTAACACGGGGTGGCCCTCCCCTCCAGAGGTGCCCCACCCAGCCTAACTTTCTTACCACCCCTCTCTGCTACTGTGCTCTTGATATGATACTAATACCTAAGTCTGTCTTTGGAATGGATTAAAATCTTCCAAACAGAAAAACTAGGAGTTGGTCTAACCTTCTGGGGTGAGTGGGCTGGAGGCCGGGGTGGAGTGCAGGCGCTGGTCATCTCCCTGCGTGGGAAGCCCAGCTTCTCTGGGGGATGCAGAACTTCCTGAGCACGTGGCCAGGAAGCGTGTGGTTGTGGAACTGTGGACATGCAGCATTTCATTATGAGGGTTTTAATACATTTATGAAAATCTCTTTCCTTGAAACAAAGAAAGTAATATATTCGATGCAGTCTGATTTGGGAAATTAGCCACTATAACTAGATATAAGTAGATTACATTTTTAAAGAGATTACTTTAATCTTCATCACAAGGCACATTTGGAGGAATATAGCCATTCGATTATGAAATCTTTCCGAAGGGCAAATAGAAGGTTGGAAGCCTGAACTATTTTTCATATTATTCAGATTTAGAAAATCTAATTCAACACCAACTTTTAATAAAAAGTCATTCCCAACTGTTATGGTCTCTTAGTCTGTGGGGTGTGTGTGTGTGTGTGTGTGTGTGTGCGCGCATGTTTGTTTTTATGTAGTGCCTTTTTATTTCTATAACATAAAAACCATTTATTTTGGCATACAAATCAGCGATTTTCAGTAAATTGAGAGCTGTACAGTCTCCCCAAAAATCAAATTGTCAAGCATTTGTGTCATCCCAAAAGGGTCTCTATTTTATTATAAGCGGTAAATGATTAAGATATGTTATATATGTGTATCAATTCCTCAAAGTGAACATCCCTATTCTGTATTGCAAATATACATAAATTTGAAAATTATTTTAAAAAGTGTATAGTTGAAAAATAATTTTAATGTTACTGCTTCCAGTTTGCGCAGCACCTACCTCACTACCAAATGACCTTTACTGATCTCTCCTCCAGGCAAACGGGAGACAGCTGGGGCAAAGCTCCTGCAATCTTATCAGAAGCTGAGGTGAGTGTTACAAAGGACAGATCGGCCCTGCAGGCCAGGCGTGCAGAGGACACCTTGAGAGAATTTAAGGATCTCTTGACTTTCAGAGGTCACCACTTTGGAATGCAACTTTGAAAAAAAAAAAAAATGATAAAGTACTTGGAAAAGAGTGATGCAAAGATGTTTCCAGGGTCTCCTGAGGAGCCCTCTAGTTATCACAGTGTTTTCTCACTCAACATTCTGCTTTGTTTCTGATGTTGTCCTGAGAAGGTCTAAGAAAATATCACTTTTCATTGCACATTTGATGACATTCTAAAGCAAGCATTTGCTTTAATTAATCATTTATATCTCTAAACTTTGCCTAGTGCCAGGCACCTCAGAGATATCTGTGGAGTAAACATTGATACCATTCAATAATGGTCTGAGAGATGTTAGCTGCTTTGCCCCAAATTCTAACCCCTCACCACCTTGTGGCTGGCCACAGTCCACACAGCTGGTTGCTCTGGACTACTCAAATCTTTCTGAGAGTTCTTATCAGTGGCCGCTTTTGTGGATCATGTGGAGTTTTGTCTAGTCTCAGAACTTTGTTTTTCCCCCCTCTTTTTGTTCCTACTTTTTAATTGCATCTCTAGTTCTCATAGGATTTTTTTCACCTATTACCTTCTGCCCTTCTGCAAAAGGGACCTTGCACATGGAGCTTGGGGTCCCTTGCTCCCCAGCTGTTCAAGAACGCAGAGGTGGAGTGTGTCTGGACCACAGTGAGATCCCAGAATGACACCTCTCTGAACAGCAGGTCCAAATAGGGCTATTGAATCTTTGTCCAAAAATCAATGCAGTTGAAAACAAGGAAAAAAAAAAAAAAGGCTGAAAAACTTGAGTTATAGAATAATGATCCTGTACTAAGACTAGTGGCTTGCATAGTTTGCAACCTCTCTCTCATTTTTGGTTTTCCCTCTGTAGCACGATCTCCGTGGTTCCTCCTACTCCACCTCCATTCAGTGAAAGCCAGTGCAGCCGCAGCCCTGGCAAGGTAATTGTCTGCGTGGGACATGGGGAGGTGGGGAGATGGGCCAGCAGCCTTGCTGTGGAGGGATCCAGCTGGGACCTCAGTGAGTCTTAGAGTGAGGCAGCGAGTGGAGGGTGGAGGTTGGGCGGTGCTTTAGCCTCCTTTTCTGGTCATGGACCATCTGGGTTGTTAGTTGACCCCCTTCTGCCTCTATCCTGGCTCCTCATCTCTACTTTTCCTAAGCTGTGGTCCCCAGCTAGGCCTTGGATCTTTGAGTGTAGAGTCCGGAGAGGCTGGGGTAGGAGTACTGTGTCTGAGGGTCCCCGGGAAAATCACTAATTGACTCCGTGTGTGAGGTGGGCATGCCTGTGGAATAGGCGTGTACGCATCACTTCTGTCCGAAGGAACTAGCTCTGTAGTCTTGGGGAAGTTACCTGGGGTTCCCACCAGAGATGGGTATATTTGCCTGGCTTCTTTCCTGTGAGAAATCAACAAAATATCATCTGTGTGGATACTTGGAAACTGGAAAGTGCCATGAAAAAATAGTCTTGATTATCTTCATTATTTTATGAATTAAAGGACCAATTATATTGGTGTATGGGAGAATATATGTGTCTCCCATAGGAGAGAAAATACGTACATGACTCTAGGGTAACATTCTAAGTCCTGCCTACTTTCTCCGTTAGATTTTAAATTCTCCACAGCTCTTCTAGCAGCTAGGTGTTTGAGTTGCAGTGTGCTTATTGGATGGAAGGATGATGGTGGGAGAGTGGGTGGGTGGGTGGCTTTGGCTGGCTGGACCACTGAATGAACAATGGATGGTTGGAAGGATGGTGGGTAACTGGAGGAGTAGGCAGTAGATGGATGACCAGTGTATAGATAAATGGTTGAGTGTATGGACAGATGAGCTGTTGTGTTGGATGGCTGGGTATTTGAGTGGACGTGGGCCATGGTGGGTAGATGAATGGATAGAGGGTACATGGATGGATGGGTAAGACTTAGATAAGGAAGTGATCTCTTTCTGTTTGTTTCTACACCTTCTCTCTCCCCAGATTTTGTAATCACTTCTTTGAGAGGCAGAACTCCTGGGTTCAGGCTGGTCACTTTGTATCTTATACCAGCCTCAGCCCTTACTCACCTAAATTCTGCCCAGGTTACCACCTCTCCTGCCTGGAGTTCAGATAGGGCTCTGAGAGAAAGGAGGTTAAACAAGCAGTGATTTACTTGGTGCCAGGAGCTAATGAAATGTAGAGGTAGTTGTTATCTTGTGAGTGACTCATTGATAATGCTCCTTCCTTTAACGAGCACCTCAGGCAAAAGAGGAGAGACGCTGAATCAATGCAGAGGCTGCTGCCCTTGGGAGGCTGTGTCCCCTCCCCCTCTGGACACACATGCATACACCTACACCCGCACACACCCTGAGCAACCCCTCCCCACCATCCTGGAGATGAGAGGGCAAGCGCAGGTCATTGAACTTAACTCATTCTCCTGTTTCTTTTTAGTTACAGGAACTTGGTCAGTTTAAAGGATTTAATAAGTCCGTGGAAAATTTGTTTCTGTCTGTTGCCACCCACATGAAAAGTAAGTGGAAACCTTGGGATGTGTTCTTCCCACCACTCAGGCCATCCTAGGTGACCTCAGATGGCACCATGCCCAGACCCAGGGAGAGCCCCAGCTCCTGGCCCTCCTCTCATCCCCAAGAGCTTCCAGTTCTTTGGGGAATGAGGGGATGTCTTTGGGGTGCTTCGTTTTCGTCTGTATTGCCAAAACCTGCCTGTCAGCCCCAGGGACAAAGCAGCCTGTTTCAACCCTCCAGGGGACCAACAAGGGCAACATAAAGACATAACTCTAGTGAACCCAAAACCAGAACCTTTCATGCTGTGTAGAGCCTAGTACCCCTCATTTGCCTGGAATTACTTGTCCGCTCTGTTTCTCCTTGATAATCTATTTTCTTCGATGTGCAGTCCCCCTGCAATTTGCAGAGGCAGATATCTCGAGCCACCCTGCCTGGAATCCCGGCTCTTTTGTTCCTTCTGCTCAGATACGTTTTTTCCTGTTTATCTTAAAATGCAAATCCTAGAAGATAGGCCCCTCCCATGCATGCTGAGATAGGCAGAGCCTGTCAGGTTTTTAGGGGATGTCCTTTATGACCCCGGGCGTCCTTGGACATCCATTTCTCTTTCTCTGCGCTTCTGTTTAGTTTTTATTCCTCATCCCTTTGTCTGCAGTTGCATATGGATGGGCTCATTGTTGTACACTGGCTCCGAGATAGTTTTACAATTTGATTCTAATTGGTCATCTGTATTTTGCACAAACCCTCTCTAAGCAGCCCTGGGACAACAATGGAAATTAAAGCCCTGTTGTTCAGATAAACTGCAGCAGTCACTATCTCATGCCACAGTCTGTCCCCTTCTCTTTCAGAAGAGGGAAGTGGCTGAATTATTTGGTCTGGCTTACTAACAGTGCCTGGGGAGGGTAAAAATCCCCCTTTGTGCCCCTCTTCTGTGCCCGCCCGCCTGACTGTGACAGCTGCATGTGCTCTGTGCAGCCGCCTCTCGTCCCGCAGTCAGTCTTCAGGCTGGATCTCCGCTGCATCTCTCTGCGCAACGCCCCTCCCCAGATTCCCGCACTTCTTGACAGTTCTCACCATCCTTTGCTACTGTGCTGCAGTGCCTTAGCATTAACCCGATCTTGAGATCCTTGAGCCCCAGAAATCCACAGAGGCAGGACACGCGGCTCCCTGCCCCACTGGACCTCCCGGATGCACCTGGCGTGCTCCCAGTTTCGAATCAGCTGGCCCCAAGCCTCACCCGTGTGAATCTGCCCACGCAGCTGAGGCTCACCAGTTTGTACCTGGGTGGACAGCTAGGGCTAATCCCCAGATGGAGTGGGGGTGGGGTCCACAAGAGAAAACAACATCAGGTATGGGGGGTCAGCTGAAACCCTGGGCCCCATGCCCCCAGCCGTCCCTTGCCCAGAGAGATAACAGAGAACCAGCTTTCTGGCTCCTGGAAGCGGCCGTGGGCCTTTCCTGAGCTTCCTGCTGGTTCCATAGTGTGGGGCACATGGCTTCCCGTGGCCTGCATGCTGCCCTTGGCCATGCCCCTGTCCAAACACACACCCTCTTGGAGGCACTCGTTCACATTCCTTCACAAGCAGATTCTCTGTGTGACCCTAAGGATCTGCTCTCCTGCTTCCCTCCAGAAGTAGGTGTGGGGGGATCCCCAACTGTGGGGAGGAAGTCAGACTGGCACTGGGGCTCATAAGGAGGAGTTGGGAGGGACCCCAAGGTCTACAAGGACCCAGGAGCCTGAAGGGGGCCTTGCCCATCAGGGGCTCAGAAAGCCAGCCCAGAATTACAACTTCTAGCTGCCGATGTGGTCTGAGCCTGCTAATTGTCAAGGGATGGCAGCGTGCATAGTCCCCCTTGGACAGGAAAGAGGACAGTGACTCTTGCTCAGGAGTAACCTGTGTTTCCTTCTGTGCCCACCCCTCTCAAGTCATGCGGATGCATAAGCCCACTTGTTAGAAACTGAATTCTGGGAGAAGACCTTGATTCCTCAGTCTGTGAGCTTGGAGGACACTGACTAGGCTTGGGCTTGGGGACACTGCACACAGGCAGCTGTGGAGCAGCCCATTTCCTGATGACGTGGAGACTGGACCCCCTCACATCCTCCACCGCCAGGCTCAGGAGGTCACCGAGGTCATCAGCTGGAGGACCCGAATGGGCTCGTCCCTTCCTGCTGCCAGCCCTAGGGGAGTGCCCAGAGACACTTCTGGATGGCAGACTTGAGGGAATCCAGCCCCTCTCTTGCCCTGTGTCCAGCAGGCAGCACTGGTCACCCTCCCGGAATCGCTGTGGCCTGCGGTGGCTCTGGCCCCCTTGCCCTTCCATCGGCCATGCCCTCCTGGCTCAGTGGGTCTGTGGATTGCAGGGAATCTCATAAGAGCCCTCTTCAGGCTTCCATGAAGCTGTGCTCCTGGCTGTCAACTTTGTGTTTGTTTTTTAGAGTTGTCCAAGTCCCAGAATGACATGACCTCTGAGAAGCATCTTCTAGCCACGGGCCCCAGGCAGAGTACAGGCCAGACGGAGAGACGGAGCCAGTCAGACACTGCTGTCAACGTCACCACCAGGGTACCTGAGGCCTGCTTGGCCTCTGCGCCGACCCCTTTATTTTGCTTTCCAGGGTTTTCTCTGTAGATTTACTTTTCCTCTCATAATAAAACACTAAGGAGTCAGAAAAACATGATGATAAGCTCCTATGTTTGGACAGGCCTGGCCAGAGGAGGGAGAGAATTATAAGATTAATGCCAGGGATAATGGTAACACACTTGTCATCCCAGATACTTGGGAAGCTGCGGCAGGAGGATCACTTATACCTAGGAGTTCAGGGTCAGCCTGGGCACCATAATGATCTCCCCCACCCCAAATTCAAAGTCAGCCTGGAAAACCGTTGAGAATAGAGTCAGACTTTCTCTTGTGATCCTGAGCCTCTGAGGCTTCAAGGGCCCACCAACAGCAAATAACTTAGCTGTAGGAGCCAACACTTGCCATTATTCCCAGAGTCTGTAAGTCTCCTCCTGACCATTAAAAGGCCTTCCCATTTTACTTAAAGTCAACAGGCTTTGGATAAAATCTGTCCTGCTCTCACATGAAAACTATAAAAAACATGAACACTCTATACTCAGAGGTCACCTAAGGCAGGCTTTTAGGGAAGTGACACTCTGCTGTCCACCATGATTAACCATACTGGAAGCAGGTACACTGGACATGAGAGAGAGCAGTGCTGGGGATCAGAAGCCCTGAGCCACAGAGGTGACCTGGCTGCACAGAGGCTAGCACCTGTGTCCCTTCTCTGTGGCCAGAGGCTCCTCACAGGACATCCCAAGATGGATTGTCCTTTATGAGGTTAGCTCACTCTGACTAGAACAGCTGCGCATGCCCTCCTGACTTCGAGTCCTGCCCTCATCTGCTGCCCTCACCCAAGCCCGGGATAGCCCTCCAGAACATGAAAACACCTGTAATGTGGGGTTCTCGGGAGCATACAGTGAGGTGATGTATTATCTATATATATTCTCTAAATTGCTGGCATTTATCATCACACGCCAGATTGTACAAAGAGCTCTTGCTGGACCATCGTATTTGATTTGCACAGCCACTCCAGAAGGTAGATTGAGGCCATCCCAATTTGACATTGGGAAACATGGAGGCTTAGCGAGGTTAAGCCCTATACCCACAGGCAGAAAAGGGGAGGGAGGGGAGGAAGGCATCTGAGCTGACCCCCGCTTGGCTGGAGGCTGAGCCCTGGGGCAGTGACTCTCATCTTCATGTGTGGCTGGATGAGACTCTGAAATGCGGACTCCATATCAGTGGGCGTGAGACGTGGCATCAGGTGCACTTCTGTTGCGCTCTGGGGGACCAAGGGGTGTGGTGCCGGTGGTCCTCTGGGGCACAAGCTGCCTGGTGCATCTGAAGCATATTTACCAGGTCTATGGGATTCTAAAGAGCACGTAGCCAGGCTTGGTGGTGCATGCCTATAATCCCAGCTCCTGAGAGGCTGAGGCAGGAGGATTGCTGTGAGTTCAAAACCATCCCACCCTACAAAGTGACACCCTGCCTCAAAAACACAAAACTGGGGCTGGGGAGATGGCTCAGTGGAATAAGCACTTCCCTGGCAAGCACAAGGGTCTGAGTTCAATCCCTGGTTCTGAAACACACACACACACACACACACACACACACACACACACACACACACACAAACCCACAAAACCAACTAAACAAAAGAGAAAGTAAACATTGGCTCAGGTCAGCTTCCTTACAGTCAGCTCCTTTGCTCAAGGAGACAGAGAGAGAGAGAAGGTTGGTGTCTGTTTCCAAGACACTGTGTTCTGGTCATGATGACAGCTCTTCCAACCTACTTTATCATGTTTAATTCTTAAAAATATACTGAGATAGACATTCTTGCTCCCATGATACAATCCTGAGTTTTAACAAGGTTAAACAACTTATCTAGCAGCTCATAGCTAAAAATAGGAACTCTGGCTTGAGGCGATTTTAAATAATCCTCAACTCAAAATGTCTTCACTTTATGCCCAGCATTAATATAAGCGAAGACTGCTGAAGAAAGAGTGTGGGAAGGGTGTTCTGGAAGTGCGAACGTTTCTCTTACTGCATCAGAGGGAGCCATTCTGATGTCAGCATTGACTTGGGCTTGGCTGCACCAGCACTGACCTGTGTGGGGAGCCCTCATGGGGATTTAACCTTTGTAACCCTGAAAACAATCCTTCGAGGGTCGTACTGTTACTATCCCCATTAAATAGGAGGACACTGGGCACAGAGCTAAGAAGGGACGGTGTGGCAGAAGATGCCTTCCCGTGAGGGAGATGCATTTGTCTGTGCTGCGGCTTGTGTGGCCCCAGTAGCTGCAGGCTTGGCATTTGCATTGCCCTGCATGGTGTGTCCAGCACAGACCGCCCGTGCCAGCTGAGCTGGAGTGGAGCGAGGGCTCAGGTAGAGCACCCCGCCACGGAGACCACGCCCCTGCACCTGCTGCCTCCTGGCCCTTGGCCAGGCACCCTTGCGGCCTGTGTCGCCTTCTGTCTTTCCACCATAACTGAGGATATGGCTGTTTGGAGAGCTGGTTTAGCCAAATACTTACAAAGTACTTGGTGATCATGACAAGATCTATAAGTGCCAAGGAATTAGTGGGCTGAAATATAAGAACTGATCACTCAATAGGACAGCTATCAGATGGCAGCTCCACCTGTCTCGGCTGCGGAGCATGTGAAAAGCGCACTTGCTTTCACTGAAACCCTTTGAGCATCACAGCAATGTGAACAGTGCGACCCAGCCCACCTTGCAGGTGCCTCATAAAGGACAGAGGCAGAAGATAATTTCCTTCTCCTCTTCTTCCCTTCTGTTTTCCCTTTTTAAAAAAATAACATCTTGCTGTGTTACCAAGGTTGATCTTGAATTCCTGGTCTCAAGTGATCTTCCTGCCTCAGCCTCCTGTCAGCCTACAGATAGGAGCCACCACATGCAACTCGACCATTCCCCTTAAGGCCATGTGGTGCCTCAGGGAGGGCGACAGTAGACAGCTCTGATCTCTTTAAGGTCACCTCTGTGACTATTAGGTTTGCGAATGCCCTTGCAGGAGTCTTTACTGTCCCAGGATTTAAAAAAAAATTTTTTTTTTTTTTTACATTTAAGAAAATTTAGTGTGCATTGGGTATTAAGATTGGTTGATGTAATTTTGGCAGATTTGTACCTGCACGTAGCAGGCTCGAATTATTTTCACCACTCCCTACCATCCTCTTTGCCCCACCAGCCCCACTAGCTTCACGTGTTTTAGTGAATATAACTTGACCTCAGCCATCCCTCTGGTTGAGGATTCTTCAAGTAAATTCTCTTCACCTTTTTCGTGGGTATTCCAGTGTTTTATTTTGTCAGTACTTGGGATTGAACTCAGGTGCTTCACACTGAGCTGTATCCCCACCCAGCCCACTAATTTTTTAAAAAAAATATATTTTGAGACAGGGTCTTGCTAAGTTGCCCAGACCAGGTTTGAACTTGTGATCCTCCTGCATCAGCCTCCCAGAATGTGCAGCTACACTCAGCTCCCAGTAGGCTTTACTGCACATCTTATGAGTGTGTACTTGTTCTACATGGGCCATGAACCATACACCAGTTAAGTAGGAAGATCTATGAAAAGATACTGGGGGAAAAGCATCTGAGGACAGAGGTGGAGGAAAATGACTTAATTTTATTTAGTTTTCCTTTGTACTCATGAAGCTTTTCCCACTGACACCTGAAATCTGTGGAAACAAGCCAAACTGTGTGTGTGGCCTTCCCAGCCCAGCTTCTCGCCCCATCGGTCGGCCACATCCCAAAGGCTGGATGGGAGAAGGAGGGGCGAGGTCTGAGTCTCTTCCCCACTGTGGAAAACCTCGGGTTGCAGGGCAGCACTCATTCCAGGGCTCATGGGGGCTGTGCCTGCTTTCCAGCTGGGCTGTGCCCTTGACCCCAGCACCAAGCGCCGGTGCTTTCCTGCAGCTGAGTCTATTTGTCCTCTAAGAGGCAACTCTGACATGAAACCTCAGAGGTGGCAGCAGTTGCTCCTCTTCTCTGATTGCCTTTGTTCATAGTGGTTATCGGCAAAAGTCCCAAATGCAGTTATTGGTTCCAGAAAGGCCACGATTGGATCAAGTGAAACAATGTTTACTGTTCGTTTCCTGAATAAGGTTAAGCATAATGCAGTAACTCTGCAGAACAGACCTCATTTGGGGCAAGGATTCTTCTGTGTAATCTGAGCAAAACTAGATAGTCACTGACTTGAGCTAAAAATCACAGGCAGAGCGATGCCTATCTCAGTGACATTGATAAGCCCTGGGATTGTGATACCCTTTAATAAGGCACTGACACTGAAGTGCCATCCAAGTCCTTGAGAATTTACTGGGGGAGGGCCAGTGAGATAGCTCAGTGGTGTAAAGCACCTGCTTAGGCAAGCTTAGGTAAGCATGCAGGGACCACGATTCAATCCCTGACACCACATGCTGTACCCCCAGGGTGGGCTAAGCCAGCCACACACACACACACACAAAAAAAAAAAAAAAAAAAAGGAATTTTCTGTGGGTAAAGTTGAACACAAATTTTCTGCTTGGATTTGTTAGTCAAGAGTCCTTTAGAGGGGCTGGTGAGATGGCTCAGTGGTCTAAAGCACCAAATTAGAACAAGCTTAGCAAAGCACAGGGACCGTGGTTCGATCCCCCAACACCACATGCCAGCCCGCCCCGCCCCCTGGTGGGCTGAGTTGGCCACACACACACACACACACACACACACATAAATAAATAAATAAAAGAGTCCTTTAGAATAGTATCTACTTTTTAATCTTGAAATACTCACATTTTCAGTTAAGCTTCCTTAAAGCTTTCTTGAGTCCTGACCTTTTCAGAAAGTCTTCTCTGGCCATGACCTTGATGTATCCTCTAATCTCTATTGTTTAAAAAAAAAAGATCATGAAGGCCGGGGATATGGCTCAGTGGAATAAGCGCTTCCCTGGCAAGCGCAAGGGTCTGAGTTCAATCCCTGGTTCCACAAAAAAAAAAAAAAAAAAAAAAAAAAAAAAACCA